GAAAAAACAAATATTATAGCAAACTTGTCAGATTATCACTGTATTGCTCAGACACCACTATTGTTAATAAGCTGTGATTATTACAGGATTTTTTAAAATCAATAAAGTTACCTCTAAAAGTTTTTGAAAAAGGAAAGCAAAGTTAGGATTGGAAAATCCAATAATAAATAACACAACCCTGAAACTATCAATATCTTTTTTCAAACATAAGTGCACACTGTGTGCCTGAGACCATGCCCGTGTCTGCCTCCTGTCAATCACACACATTCTTTTATTAGTCTAAGATAGAAAATAAACAACAAGACTGACAGTTTTGTGTCCTTTGGCATTTATGTCACCACCATAAAAAGAAGAGGGTATTATGTCATCAGTCAAGTCTGTCAAGTTTGCTTTGGGATGCTGTTTGTCTTTAAAGAGTTTGTCTATCTGTCCACCTTCTTATTTACTTACCTATCTTCAAACTACTACAATATTTATTATATTTGTTAATTCCAGATAGTTACTACAAATATTAATTTTATAAAATTGTTTTAGATAAGGTGTACACAATCTAGACCTACAATAGCTGGTAGAGTAATTTGCAATGAATTCATTAGATTATTAACAAACTTTCCAGTACACACATAAGTACATACCCTCCCAAACATAACTAAAATACATTGCTGAGATTTAAAAAAAAAATCCAAGATAATTGTGAACATTTTTTGTTATTATTGAATGGTACTTTTGTCATGGAAACAATACATTTCTAAAATTATAGTTCTATAATTCTGCTATATGCACATGATTAAAAACTAAATATTCTTTTTTAAAACTTAAAATCTCTACCTTTGATTCAAGATATTAAGTGATCAAAATGTTGCTAGTGCTCTGCCTAAATACATACCTGATCGGGACATTTTGTTATTGTTGTTTGGTTATTTCAAATTGCTATAACATTACTATCTAGACTAGACCAATGTTCATTTTCTGAAATTTTGTGCCTTGTTTTTGTGGGTTTATTTACTGTACTGTTCTGACCAAAATAATTTTGCTGTTTTAAATTTGATGAAACACAACAAAAGGTTACAGCTTAAATAAAATGGTGCTTGTTTTCATAGAGATTGTTAAGCAGCTGTAACTACAATAGCAAAATTATACCAACTGCCTATGTATTCCTAATAAAAACTTATTTCCTTTGTTGTGTTTCTTCATTCTAAGTTATTACTTGCCATTGAAAAAATGGTCCATCCTAAATATCTAAAAAGGTTAAATCATGGCAATATGGTGAATGTTTATTAAAACTGAGACTAATAAACTTTGTTTAGTTGCTATGAATTAACCTTTTTAAATACTTGTGGCCTGAATAATTGAGTCTTCATTTACATGTTGCTTTTCATTTTGGGGAGAAATTCCCTGCAGTTAGTATGGCTGGTTCATTCCAACAACTCACTAACTCTCTGCCTATCCAAAATTTTCATTTTGACTGAAGAAGTTACTTGGATGAGTAATGAAATGTCTCAGTTTTAATAAACTTTGGTCCAGTTGTCATGATTTAACCTTTTTAGATACTTTTGACCTGGATGGGTTGAGTCTTCATTTACATGGTTCATCCTAAATCTGTTCACTGGCATTTTTGTAAAGTCTTTGAAAAGATCTGAAAAATTGAGATGGGGGTTCCAACCCTGAATTGATACACTGAAGGGCCCCAACTGGCAAATAGTAACTGATTCAGATATCAAACAAAGATGAAAAATCTCTAGTACTACAGAATAAATTTAGATAAGCACTCCTGTCATTACTAAATCAGAAGGTTCCCAGAATTGATAGAACATCCACAGAAATACTGCAAGCAATAGAAGAGGAATCCGTTCTAACCAAGTATGCCAGAAATTGGAGTATGATGCAGTGTCCAACACACTGCAAGATATCAATCTACAGTTGAAAAGAATGTGGAAATACAGTAATTATAATTCATCCTACAGTTCATTCTCTTCTTTATTTTCCCTAACATTTTCTTCATTTCTCTCTTCTACTCCTTTATCAATAGCAAGGCATAAAAGAGAATGTATGCATTCTTAACTGACACTGTTAGATTAACACTTACTGATTAAATCTCCAATCTGTTTGATATTTTGGAAGTACCTACTTCATTTCAGACTATTTTATAAAAATAATGATTCTCTTTAGGCAACATAGTCAGCAAATAAAATTTATATCTTCTAAAAGGTATGTTTATTCTTAATGCATTATAAGGCACCACATGTTGGTATAGTAAACTGAAAGGATTATCTAGTCAATAAAACTGATATTATGGAACTATTGTGCTGTGCAAAGTATATGAAGGAGCAATTTGCAATTTTGTTAAAGCATCCAGGTTATTACAAGAATCACACGCATACTTCAGAAGCTGTTTTCATGTTTGTATAGTAACTGCATATTCACTTCATTAGTGGTTCTTGTGGAAGTATTGTCTGCACATGAACATTCATGTAAAGAGACAGAAACAGCTTTTGCAGATGTTCTGTGAAACTTGCAAAAATCAACCTTTTTAAAAAAGGTGCTTTGTTCAGATTCCTACACATTGCAGCTTTGGAAATATTTACATATTTACATATATTTTACACTCTCACAGACACAATTCAAAAAATTGAAGACCAAGAATTAAGTATAACATAGTAGTTAAGTTATTGGACACTTGCCAAGTAGGGCCGTATTAGAATGCTCACTGAGACTCTCATCTTGGAATAACTTAGGAGTGACTTGGAAACTATCACTCACTTTCGCTACAAACTCCCTCATTATTAGTGTAGAAATAAATTTTGGTTATATCCTACATACATTATAGAATGGTTCCAGGACAAAAAGTGGGTTATAAATGCAATTAGCATAATCAATGTTAAGATAAGATAACCTTTATTGTCATTTTTTTTTTACTGTGGGCACAACGGCACACATCAAAAATGAAATTTAGTTGCCCGCTCTCAAAGTGAAACACATACATGACACAGCACCTAAACATACTATGTACAACATATGCATAGACCCATACCCCTACATATACATAACAAATAAATATTAAATACTGTCCAACTTGAATATATAACGGAAGGAGGAAGCTTGAGAGTTCACAAGGTTAATGCTGTATGGAATGAAACTATGGATGTTCTGGATGTTCTGCTACGGATACCACGAAGCCTTCTCCCAGAAAGTAACAAGCAAAACAGGTCGTGAAGAGGATATGTAGTATCCTAGATTATCTTACGGACCCTGCTCAAGCAACGCTTCTGTGCTATGTCCTGGATGGGAGGGAGG